GCATTCATAACATCCAGTAGTCTTAGATATGAGCTGAGGTAGTATTTGGTCACGCGGCACTACACAGCACAGCATGATATAACCAAAGCCTCGGGAAAATCGCAAGACCCAGCATAGCTGAGCAGCGAGCGCCAGGGCATCCCCAACTCATCGTGTGTTTCATTGTGAATTCATTTCTGATCATTGGGCATTCAGGAACCTTTCACTGTTGCCAAACTTTCATGACCCTCCTATCCAGTCACAGGGCTCCAGGTTTCGACAGTGGGTAGGAAACCACTTCTAATGAGTTGCGGACAAAAGCCATACACCTTGGAAAGCACGTATGAGAAATGGCAACTTGCCCTTAAGTTACTGTAGAATCATAATCCCAATGAGAGCCCCAAAGAGCTTCTGGAAATGCACGTGGAACAGAAAGTGGGAGAGAGGGGGAGGAGAGAGCGCTGAAAATATAAAACTAGTAACTAAGACCAGCAGAAAGATCAATGGAAGAGAGAAGAGAAACAGAATGGTGTGTGAGAGGGTTAGGATGCGTTGGGTCAGGTTAGCCAGAAGCAGTGACCTGGGGTATAGAAAGACTCATACTGCGTATCACTAAAAAGCAATTCCAGGTTAAGATGAAGAAAAACCAAACTGTAGGGTTATGGGAATAAAGTATATTTAAAACTTTGGCAGACATTGTCACAAGGAAGACAAAATACAGAAATTAAAGCAAGAGAGTTAGATCTGGCTTTTCAGTCGGGAACTCACGCTTTCTGTGAGAACGGTCACAGAGACTCTGCTCATTGCCACCAAGTTCAGGTGCCCATTAGACAATGGATTAATGACTACCAGTCCTTGTAACACGTATCTCCAGAACTTGCCTTGACCAAAAGGAACCAGACACAAACTGCTCCATTCATATGAAGTGGAGAAACAGGCAGAATGAACTTAGAGTGCGGAAGAAACAACAGAGGCCACACCTGGGGCCAGAGTGGGGCTGGGGTGGGGTGGGGGTGGATGACATCACTGCCTGGGAAGGAACTTTCTGAAGGGGCGGTAACACTATTTTGATAGGCCTATGGGTAACAGCTGTTTCTTTAACCAAGCCTTAGCAAATGCATGCTTAACACATACATGCGTGTTCTATTCATTTTTATCTGTGTGTGTATTTATTCATTTTTATGTGGTGTGTGTGTGTGTGTGTGTGTGTGTGTGTGTGTGTGTGTGTGTGTGTGTATGTGTGTGTGTGTGTGTGTGTGTGTGTGTGTTTGGCAGAGGGGGAAACCTGAAGCCAGAAGAGAGCATTAGATCCCGTGTAAATGGATTTACAGATGGTTGTGAGCTATTGGTCATGGACGCTGGGAAACAAACCAGGGTCCTCTGTAGGAACAGGAAGCATTCTCAACTGCTGCACCATCTCCTCAGCCCCAATCTGTGGTTGATTGTATGTAAATTTTACCAGGAATGATAATTATAAGAAAAATGAGTGGCATGTAAGTTGAATATTTAGGAAGACATTTCCTGATGACTATGACTTACTTTGAAATATGCAAAAAGAAAAAACAATTGTCAGTAGATGCTTGCATACCACCACAGCAAAATGTTCCAAGTCAGAGCTAAGACGTTATGTGGATGCTGTCAAATCCTGTGGACTTTCTCACCTGCTTGAAAATTTTCACAGTAAAATGCAGAGAGAAAAGAAGCAAGACTGAAGGATTATTATGCACAACAAGTTGATCATCAATAAGAAAATGAAACAAATGCCTAAAACTAAGACCGCTCCCTTCAGATCCGAGGGCAATGCCGACAGGACCTGGTGTCATCAGAGCTGTGAACAGAACGGTCTAATTTAAACCAGGAAGGCCATTGTCTCCTCACACACCAGGCAGGTACAAGCATGTCACTGACTGAGCTTCCAAGGGTGAGTGAGCACTCTTGGTGGCTGCTGCTGGTGAGCCAGGCCCCAGAGCACTGTTCTCGGTATCCAGTGCAGTAGTCAGGGTGAAATGGAATCATTCTAGAAAGATCTATGACTGGTTGCTAGGTGATGGATATAGTTACCAGCATTTATGCAAAATGCCTAGATGAGTGCACGTGTCCACACCCCCAATGCAGGAAAAGGGCTCTGGAAAAATGCAGGCTCCTACTGGATGAGGATTGAGGGTGGTAGCCCCAACAATCTGCTTTGCAACAGGTTGGTGAATTTTGCAAAGCCCCATTTGTGTGCTGCTTGCTTAATTAACAGCGTGAATGGATCCCTGGTTTAAAATGGTTCAGCGCTTTCCCAGCACCAATGTCAGATCCAAATAGGCAAAGCCTGAACTCGTTCACACGGACCTTACAACTTGTATTTCCCCCAAAATGCCTCAGTGTCTCTTGCTCACTCCTAATTTAGTGTACACCCAGCAGATACCCCCAAATCACAGAGATGAGCAGTTCTTCTGTGAGGTGACCAGAGAACCGTCTGCTCCTCATCTATCTCTTCTTCCCAAGGACTGAGTCATGACTGACTCGGTGGGCAGGATGTTCCGCCATCCACTTCGAAACTGTCCGACATAGTTTGCTTTTAACTATACCACGCAGACTCTCATTCTCAAGCAAGAAGTTACAAGATCTACACACAGCTAATGTGTGCTGACTGACAAGAGGCAGGTGTGTATACCTGCACTTACCCTCAGTTGTTGGCCTTTTTTAAGAAAACAAAATCAAACAGTTCACAAAAGCTAGTTGCAAGTTTTATTTATATAAAATTCATTAGGAACATAAAAGATTGAGTTTCTTAAAAAAAAATCTGCAGTTATTTACAGCAGTATTGCACAAGTACAGTGGCAATTACCCTGTCAAAATTCATCAGTGCAAAACATAAAGGAAGCCAGGGGAACTGCAATACAAATGCTACATACGCTGGGTCCTTGGGCATGTTAGTGGTGGGGCACTATACACAGAGATCAGTGCTATTTACTACAGGGTACCTGACAGGTTTGGATACAGTAACCAGCGGTCAAAGAACCTAGACACTGAAAACTATTTGAACTATTAAATTTTGAAATTCCCAAATAAATGCAGTCAAGTACTTTGCTGGGAGCTTGAGGATGCTTCGTGCAATGCTGTTTGGGAGGGAGTCCCCGCTGATTTGGCGACACGTGTGGACACGACCCGCACACACGTCGTCTACACACACAGGCACCAGGCCAAATCAGCAGGGAGGACAGAGCCATCTACATGAAGTCGCATGCCCCTAGAGCTTCAGTGAGCTTTTCCATTGACACGCAGGCCAGTGGGGACTCTGACCTCTTCTTGAGGGCAATGGAGAGTTGGAGCCAGGGCACAGGCCTGCAGAAGCAGGCTGGACTAAGCAGTGAGCAGGGGGAGGGGGCGAATGGCTTAGCTCCTCCCTTCAGTCCATACACCTCAGCAGAATCACAGCTGGTGGGGACAGCGGCCAGCAGGTGTCCTGGTGAGACAAGCGGTCTTGGCAAATTCTCTAGAAACAGGCCCCACCCGCCTTCCTCCTACTCAGGACAGCCACACAGCAGCACCTCAAGAGGTGGTAGGATTGTATTTCTCTCAACACTGGGTTGTCAAAGATATTCTTTCAATTTAAAAAAACAAAAAACAAACAAACAAAAAAAAAACTTTCCCATCTGCTGATAATACTTCTCTAAAGACATGGCCAACTTATTGGTAAATCTGTTCTTCTCAGAAACCAGCTGCTTTACAACAAATGGGTTTGATGGGTGTTTTTTTTAGAGTCCAATCTTCCAGCCTACCACATCTGGGGTATCTCAGGGGCAGCAAAAATACTCATTTCATCAGAAAGGTGGCAGAATCCAAGAACTGAATGCCGGGAGCCAAAGCGGACCCAGTCACCGCCCCCTCCACCCCCACCTCAGGAGCTGAAGCAATTCATGGGATGGCGGGGGGCGTGGGGGACAGGGATGTCAACACTTTCAAGAACGTACGACATTAAATAAGCAGAAAATAAATATACAACATTTGTACACGTTACAGCATTATGAAACAGTAGAGCGCATCTCACACAGAAAAAGAACCTATGATATTTACAATCCTTAATTCCGAGAAGTTTAGAAAAACAGTGATTTTTTTTTTTTACACTCATTGATGCCGTACAAAATTTTACAAGAAAGGTAAAGGAAACACAATTGCACACAGACATTTGGCTCAGTTGATGAATAAAACACGACTTCCTAATCTAATAAATAGTCAAAATATATACAACACTAAGAGGAAACAGGAGAGGTTGTGTACATTATCCATTACATACTTTAATGAAAAGTGATTTTAAATTGATTTTTCAGCGCCCCACCCCACCCCCCACCCCGCCCCCAATTCATCAACTCTTTTCTAGGAAGGAAATCTGAAGAGTCACTCAGGAAGTTATTTTTGTGTTTATTGCATCTTGGGGTGAAGTCACAGGACTTCACCTTCTCACAAACCTCACATGGGGAGGCTGTCAAGGCACAAAACCCGCATTATGTTTACACACACATACACACACACAGAGAGAGAGAGAGAGAGAGAGAGAGAGAGAGAGAGAGAGAGAGAGAGAGAGAGAGAGAGAGAGAGATTGTGGGGGATCTAGTTTTTGTTCTACGAAAAAAAGAGATAATAATAAAATAAAAATTAAGTTCAGGGTCTACCCACAGTAGGCAGACATATTTCCTAATTTGCATTTCAATAAACAGATACAGTCCAGGGACATCCAGTCGTGTCTAAGGTCTGGGTGCCACACCCTGTCCTTGAATACTTTTCAGTTCATAGAATCATTTATTTCCCCATGAGCTGCTCTGATGCTCAGCCCCAGGCTGGAGGCCAACGGGCCAGAGGTAAGCATGTTTGAGGGGTCACACATGCCACTGGCACCTGGCTCTGGGAGCCTTCTGCACCTGCCCAGGAGGTACCACAGAGCCCCGGGGCTGAAACAGTAAAGTGCTCCAGTCGGAGAGACTGGCACATGAGCACGAAGGTCCTAGGAGGTGGGTAGCCCAGAACCAAGTATGTCTTTGGTGTGTGTGTGTGTGTGTGTGTGTGTGTGTGTGTGTGTGTGTGTGTCTAGCAGAACCATGGCTGCATTCTTAATACCACTTTATACCAGTGGGCCATATGGGGAACCCTCCACGAGGCTCAACACATCAGGAAACAAGGTGAGCGCCAACACAGCTTTCAAACTATTAAAAGTCTAAGGAAGCTGGGAAAGAAGTGGGTTTAAAAGGAAGAATATTTGGGATCAAATGATCTCAATCTAGAAGGAAAAGCATATAGGCAACACACACACACACACACACACACACACACACACACACACACACACACACACACACACAGAGAGGAACGTAGGAATGAATGGATTTCTCTACTCAATGACATAAAAACACTGGCCCTCTACGGGGCAAAAGGGAACACAGTTGCTGGCAGCGCTGACTTGCTTGGAAATGCATGCACTTCTCTAGGCAAGCTGCCTGATGATTGACATTTTCACAAGTTAGAGGGCTCACAGTCTGCCCCCACCCCTCCGGTGTTCTTTCCTCGGTCCTTTTTGTCTTCCCTGCTTGTCTGCCTACATGTGTGCTGTTGGTTCTGGGAGGTGCTGCGGAGGGAACCCGGGGCCTCTGCACATGCTAGGGAAGTGCTCCTTCACCAGGCTATACACCTCCAGTCCTGCCTGCTCTTGAAATGACTGACCAATGTGTGGGCTTCTGGTGCACGTGGTCCTAAGGGGTAGGTACCAAGAAAGAGCACCCCCCACCCCAGACACAGATGGCCCAACAAGATCCAACGATTAGGAAAATGGAGAACAAAGTAGTCAGTCATCTTTTGGAAGACCAAAGAGAATGTTCCACTTGGTGTAACGGAGGTTTCCTATGTGTGGTAGGTAACTGGTGAAGCAGAGCCAGTCTCTATTTCAAGGTAGGTTCAAAGGAATGGGGCTGAAGTTCAGGCATCCCGGGCCAGCTGGGATGAGCAGAGCTAAATGCCAAGAAGCGTGGAAAATGACTCCCTGAGCCCCTTGCTCCCGAAATGACCTGGCCAATCCCCAAGAAAAGTGTGGGCTCTGGCCCGTCTGGTGCATGCAGTAAAGCAGAGCCTGTGACTGCAGGAAAGCCTGCAACCCAAAGAGCTAACAGCTTCCCTAAGTGGTGGCTGAGTCTGCATTCTCTCAAGATGAAAGGGACAAACTAATCCGCCACAAGGAAGTGAGGTGCTCAGGAGCCCTTCCCAGGAGTCAGCTTGATTGATGGAGCTGGGAACAATCCGGGCAGCCCCTAGCCCTTGCTGACCCAAACACGCTGCATCATGAGAACACCCTGGGTCAAACCTGTGCGTCAGTGTGGAGACAGACTGAGGAGGACGAGGAGATGAGGAGAAACACAGAAAGTGTGAAATTCTGAGACAGAAGCAACTGAGCTAAGGAGGTAAGTATTTACAAAATGGGAATGGCACACCAAAACAGACCCTTGGCCACTTGAATCCATTCCATTTCGTAAGAACTGTTTTGGTAGCAATAATTAAAAAAGAAACTCAAGGAAGTCATGGCACAGGAGAGAGGGCAGCACCATCCTCTCCTGTTTAAAAATTCTGTACAGTAATCTCTAAAAATAAACTAAGGCAGCCTTATAAATCAGCTGGCTCAGTTCCCACTGCAGGCTTACATAATCCTCTGAGAATTGGAGTCAGGTTCTTAGAATTTTAGTATAAAAATCATCCACAAGTTGGCTAAAAAGTTTTCATTTCCTTTCTGAAAACAAAAACAAAACAAAAAACAACCCCCCCCCAACCCAAACAGTTATCAAAGAAAGTGGGTCTAAAAAACACATGAACACACCACATGTAAACACCTCCCTTGCATTTGACTCTATGCCAAAAGACCCAGAATCTGTACATTAAAAAGAGAAGAGCCCTCCCTCGTTTACATTCACAACAAACGTCTGTTGGAAATTCTGCCGTGTGGTGAGGAACAGAAAGGTTAAGTTCACGTCGTCGACACAGCGCGGTGTGTCCAGTGTGTCGTCCGCCCTCAGCACCTCTCTGGGACAGAGCCACCGCCACCGCCACCGGCGCTGGCCGCGGTGGCGGCATCTTCACGGCACCAGGAGACTGAAGTGCTGGGGTTCTGGCGGTCCGAACAAGAGTAATGTCCACATTGATCCGTGGCTGCATGGAGGTCCTGTCAATGCCTTCTCCATACTAGACGGATGAAGAAACGTAACAGTTGTAAGATAACCATTTGAGGGTGGTGAGGGTGGTCTTCAGCCTGCAACAATACAAGCAGAGTTCTTCGTTACTCCCTAGTACTCCGGCGCCGGCACACTTAAAGCACGGGGCGCCTCCCACCTGAATTGCAGAGGAACTCAATTCCATCTGCCCTGCCGGGATGAGGATGCGACATCACAGAGTACAAGCGTACCAAACGAATTGTCCATCACTGAGAAAATAAAGCGAATGGAAGACCATCAAACTACTCCAGAGGTATCTTGGAACTATAAACCTTCCCGTGGGTGCTGGACAAGAGCCAAGCCAGGCCACTGCTGTTGGTGTCTCGGGAGAAGTGGTTGAGCAGAGGGGAGGGGCCGAGGAAAACAGGGGGTGGACTTGGGTTTCTTTACTCTTTACGACCCACCACATTCACTGATATTCAGACATGCTCAGACTCCCTCAAAGGTGGATTCCGGTAGCTGTAATTGACTTGAGAAAGCAGTGATTTGGGCGGCGGCGGGGGCGAGGGGGGGGTGATTTGCCCCAAGAAGCTAAATAAAGTGGAAGAGTGATGGGCCTCTGGTTGCACTGAAGGATAAACAGTGACCCGGAGGGAGGGGCAGCCCACTGTCGCCGACAAGGGGCTGAGTCAACCCCGCGGTCCCACATCAGGCCTGGGAAGGAAAGGGCAATTAAAAGCAAAGCTTTTATGCTTGTGACATATTTAGGTTTGTTACAATTTGAAGACTGTTCAGAAGGAAGCCTTGGATTTATCTACGTGAAGAGTTCAGACTCCCTTGCACCCTTCCAGAGTATCCCCATCTGGGATCTACTTCATCTCACTGGAGAACATAGGGCGAGGGAACAATACACTTGCCTCAATGCCATCAGCCACAACCTGGTTCAAATTCAAGTCTGAAGCAGGCCCTGGTTGCTTCCTTAATGACTAACCCACAAACAAGACCTGGCTGCGTGGCCACCCCGGGCACCCCACCCCCTTCACTCTGGTGGGAAGTGCTCCTGAGGACTGTCTGGGAATGACCATGAATCACACTGGGGCTGTCTGTCCCCTCTCAGACTCCAAAGGTCCCAGCAGACACCAGCTGCGAGGGGAGCTCCCCTCTCCCCACTGTTTACACAGCTCTCAAACTCAAGGGGCCAGGGCATTTCCCCTTTTCTTTCCATAACAAGATGGGAGGAAATCAGCTTTATGTCAGCGATTCCTGTGGAGGAGCTCCCGTGACCACAGGCCGCGATTTTATCAGCCCTCCACACAAGACTGCTTTGTTTTGATTTAACTTTCAAAATTACTTTGCTCCTTTTGTGTGAGAATAACTCAGGGGAAGGTTCATTTTGGTGAAGATGAATATTAATAGGCTGAAGGAGACTTATCCAAAATAGAACCGCAGCTCACTAGAATAAAGAAAGCCGGTGCTACAACTGACTAAGCCATCAATCCAAGGTGAGAAGACTGAAACAGGCCTAGTGTCAACGAGGCCCTCTGAGTAAGCGCACAATGGGCATGGCTGGGTATCTACAGTCAACACACCAAGAATGAGTGGGTCACCCAAGGGATGGGCCTCAGAACTGCTCACACTTGGGAAGCCGCAAATTCTAGTCTTGGTAGCATCTGGGGAGACACTGACTGGCTAACCATTTGAGGACGACAGGCGGACAGTGGTGGCTGTGGCCAAGGTTAACGGGAAGACTTGTACAAAGGACACATACAATCATGTCAGGTGGCATAGTTGTAGGAATGCAGGCAATTTTGGCAAAGGGGAGACCCGGTCCCCAGTGGTGGTGGTAGTGGTGGTGGTGGTGGTGGTGGTGGTGGTGGTGGTGGTGGTGGTGGTGGTGGTGGTGGGGTGCCGCCCTCTCGGGCCGTGGTGTGACAGCAAGGCACGCGCCTTTAGCAAGTGAACAATTGCTTTTGGACAACGTTCAACGGAGGAAGCCATTAGTACTGATTCAGAGCACAGTGCCAGCCCAGAAATCCCTTGACAGCTGGCACAGTGGCTGGAGCTGCTCCTCCCAGCACCTGTGGCCCACACAACAGCAAACAGCTGGAGGGTGGGTGGCGCTAACTTACGTCAGATTCAGCAGTGAGGCTGCTGTAGGCTGCTGCAGGTTGTGCCTTAGTCTGAGCCGTGGGGTGGGGGGGTCGGAGGGGGACTGCTAATGTGAGAGCTGGGGCTGAATGAAGACAAGAAGCCAGGACTTGACACTTAGAACACGGGCTCTCGAGAAGGAACTCTTTGTGACGTGTGCATGGGGACCCGAGGGTGAGCCAGAGCTTCAGTTGTCTTCTGGTTTAAGGGTCAGGAGCGCTGAAAGGATCCTGCAAACCTACTCGTCTCTCCCCTCCCCCTCCCCGCCACCCGCACCCACAAGAGAGCACCTGACCAGGACAACAGCACCTGACCAGGACAACATGTCCAGGGTGGAAAGTCAGGCCTGAAAATGGCCATCATCTGCAGTGGGAGCCATCAGCTAGAATGTCAGTGTACAGTCTACATCCGGCAAGGCCCCTCACAACTTAGTCAGAACTAGAAAGACGAGAGACCATGCGCAGGAGCAAGGGCATCAACTCTTTCTTCCCGGGCCTGCAGCTCTTGCCAGAGTTCATCTTCTGGCTCGTGTCCAGCGGGTCTGCATCAGTGACTCACACCCAGGCACTCCCAGGGGCATCTGTGTACTCAGGGTACACAGTTCAGGACCACACCTAGGCCGCCCGGTACAAAACAGAACGCTTTTCCTGATTACAACCGCTTGATGCAGAGAAGAAAGTACAATAGGGAAAGGAGCCCTGCCTCCCTCCTGGCAACCCCTCGAGAGGGGCCACAGTGTGCCCCAAATTCTCAGGCTGCAGTCCTGGCCCCAGTACCTCAGAATGTGGTTGTCTATGGAGACAGGGCCTTCAGCAAGGTGATTGAGATGAACCCACTGGTTTGAGGGAGGTGGAGCAAGGCATGAATATAGCGACAGAGGGGACAGAGACAGCATGGAGGACCCGGCACCAACAGGCCAGAGACGGGTGTGTGAAGACATCAGCGCTGCTGAGACTGATGTTGGACTTGTGGCCCCCCCAGAACTGTAGAGCAGTTAACTTCTGTTGTTTACAGCACCCCATCTGTGACCCCACTACTGCAGCTCTGGTGAACTTTTCACCCATCCTCCTGAATGGTCATTCTCAGTCCTTTATGTACCGTTTAAGTGAAAACACTTCTTAGGTGGAAGTTTAGCAACTGTTTGAGACTAAGTCACAAAGATGCTCGGGAGGTCTAGCACACTGATGCAGCTGGGTGAAGGAAATACTGAAAAGGCTTCTGAGACAAGCAGGCCCCCGAGAAGGTGCTGGGACAGGCCTGGGGACAGAAGGATCACTCATTGCCACTGCTAAATGAACTAACTAACGGCAGGGCAGGCGTTTAAGCCTTCAAAACAACCCCACGGGACCAGTGTGGCTCTCTTCAAGCAGCAACTGGCTGGAAGCAGGGCAAAGAGGTGGCAGGCCAGGACATACACCTTGGATCCCACACCTTCCTAGAAGACATGTGTCACCTACGACCACACATTCAAGCTCCCAGAATGGAGAGCGATGATGTGGATACTGTGGATGATGTGGATACTGTGGATGATGTGGATACTGTGGATGATGTGGATACTGTGGATGATGTGGATACTGGCATGCCAGAGACAGGACAAGTTCAGAGGTGGCTCTGGAATGAGCACATCTTTGCCTCCAATCTTTCATTGCTCGAGATCGCCTTCCTTTTGGCTCAAAAGGGATTTCAGAGTGGGCTCTGTGGAGTGGGACTAGAGACCTCCCCTCCGAGTGACTGCAGCACCTCAGCTCTTCTGCTAGAGTAGGGTACAAATGCCAGTCTCCACGGCAGAGCCCACACTTAGCATAACCCCATGCTGACAGCAGACTTGAGGGGGCTTACAGTGACAGCCACATCACAATACAATTAAAGGTTGATGCAGATTAAAAATCACAGCAAGGAGGGGGTACGGTGAGACCTAGGGGTGAGATCTGTGGCAACATAACCACACTTCAAGTCATGTTTCCTGGCAGTCAAGGTAACAGGTATTGGGGCAGGAAAGATGGCTCAGTGGTTAAGAGCACTTATTGCTCTTCTTGTGAACCTGGGTTCTCTGCCTCCTCATCAGATGGCTCATAACTGCCCCTAAGTCTAGTTACGGGGGCTCTAATGACCTCTGTCCACTGAGAGCATCTGTACATATATGATGCACATAAACTCATGCACACATACACATAAGTAAAAGATAAACAAATAAACACTTTTAAAAATTGACAGTACCCTATCCCAAGTTCTTAGATACAAAAGCATCCCAGAATAGGCACCCCCTCAGAACTCTGAGATATAGAAGAATTCGACTAGTTGGAAGTATGTCTCACACAGAATGTCCACACTGAAGGCTCCAGATGTCCTAAGCGTCTAACAAGTTTATACATAGGAAACTGAATGTTGGACTATGAGACTGGGAAGGACTCTAGTCGTCTGTTGTAGGTTCTGGCTCCGAAGAATACCATGCCATGTCACCTGGATGCTGCACTGCTCCCCATCAGCACCACTCAGAGTGAGCCGTCCAGGAGGCTGAGGGTACCCAGAACACAGCTGCACCACTTCGATGGGGTCCCAATCCAGCCATCTAAACAATGTTTCCTAAAGCAGCCGTGAGGCCTTAGCCCCTCTCCACCTTCAGACAGAGAATCTGCTGAGATTTCCCTGCCCGTTCAATGGCCATTGCTGCCTTCAGGCCAGATGACTGCTGCCTGAAGACCACACTCACTTTCTATCTGTCACCAAGGGAACAAGGGTATTTAAACAGCTTGAGTGTGATAGCTTAGTGATCACAACGGTTGAAGAAAAGGCACAAGAGGCACCTTCGGATGCAGTGAGAGGCCTCTGGACATGAGAGGAACAAATGTGCTCCCACCCCCAGCACTGAAAGCAAGCAGAACTGTCTGTCAAAGATCTATCATGGCCGCACCGGCTTGAAAGTCACATACAGGCTGCAAATGTTTTCACA